GATACCCAAGACAAATAATTTTTACTAATGCGAAGACCAGTTTACCAGTTACCCATGCAAAGGCAAGAGTTAATGTCCATGGTTACTGCTTAAGCGCACCACTATGATAATATTCTTATGTGTAGGGAGCAGGTACAGATGATGATAAATGCTACATGTGCCAGGACACCTCGCCACCCACTGCACGTAAAGGAAAAGGCAAAATTGATTGGATACAATGCACAGAATGCCAGCACTGGTTCCACATGTAAGTATTTACACTGCAACATTTAAAACAAAGAACAAGAATTGAAAAACTGGAAAGCTTGTGTGACATTTTCTCACCCAACAATGAACGGTATGAACATTTCCGAAAAATTGGAAATCGCATTTTTAAAATTTTGACAGAGGCGTTAACAGTACTGTGTTAAGACTGATTTATCCCAGAAATAAATATAAAAGTTTTATATTTTTGCTTTCTAGTTTAACAGGAGCTCTCGGCAATATGTTACTGTACTTTTTTTTTAATTTATGTACCCCACTACCCTCATGTGAGCATTGTTTGCATAGGAGCAATGTGAAATAAGGATTTACTGTATTTGGGTATACAGTCAACTCCCTTTATAGCGGACACTGTAGGGACCTCTAGTTAGTGTCCTAATTAGCGAGAGTCCGTAATAGCGGGAGTTTATTTCAGTCAATCTTCTGTAATTTGTTTTTTCCTGGGATTTAGCTGCTGTCTGTTTTATCGGGGTGTCCATTATAACGAGGTGTCCGCAAGGCGAGAGTTGACTGTACCTTCCAGTAACAATTTACTTTAGGCCATTGTTTTCTAAGTGACTGTCCTAATGACTCTAAATACAACGACATCTACTTTTTATGAGGGTAAAACTGTTCACATCATAAGAGCCACACACAGAGTAATTATTGCCATGTGCAGGTGTTAAAAGAGCACCACATGCTGACTGGTTTTGCACCACATGTGCATCGACACATCGAGCACAATAATTCAAGATCACTTTAGTGTCCAACAAGTACTTGAAAAATAAATACTTGCTTACTGGGTTGCATCGAGTTGTGGGTGTTTTAATTCAAAGTGCACTTATTTACATTATTACTGAAAGGGGAAGTACAGTTGAACCTCAAATTGTGACATGTCTAAAACATCATTATTATCGAGAAAATTGCCCTTAAGAAAAGCATTTTGCAGCATCAAAGTTTGAATTGCGCAAGTGCTATGATGCAATGCAATGCAACTAAAGAAATCATCTGTTATCATTATAAAAAATCCTACAGTGAAATAGTAAACAAAACAATGTGGACCTAACATGTACTAGGACACTTAATACTTGCAATCCTACATGCAGCCTCTCATATTTGATCATGACTATTTTCGGAGCAAACGTTTGTCATTTGTAATCTCTAGTGAGGGAGACCCAAACGTGATGCTGATACAATTTTGCCATTTTTGGCCAGCACAAAAAAATTGCTAAACACTTTATCCTTAATATCTAATCAAAGTGCTTTATGAGCACACTCGTGAATTGAATGCTGAACAAGCAACCATCTTAATTAGGAAAGCATGCAGACACATCAATAATTTACTATACTGAACAATCCAGAATATTCTGAATAGTACCACAGTATGCCATAACATTCTAAAAAGTAACAAGATTTGTCAGAAGGTAGAAAGGAGAACCACAAAAAGGTTCCAAAACCAAAAACTAAGTCGGCAAAAGAGTCGAAAAAGAAAAAAAGTTACAAATTAAATATGTAGATTAAAGCGATATTGGTGTTGTAGTTGAAGCATTCAATTGTGCTTGCAAAAACCCTATCTAAATACAAGATCTATAGCTTTTTTCATTCTTAATTCTCACCCTAATTTCAGCTGATCATTGTCTGTAGCCTTATCCGAAAATAAATTTTAAAAGCTTCATTCTAAAGAGTACCCAAAATCTTTCTCAAAGTCCTGCGTGTGACCTACAGTATAGTTACCTGATGCCACAGAGTTCTTCAAGAAAACACTTTTCTTCTCATTCTCTGAGTTGTACACCACCGAGCCACGGAGGACCGGGGCAATAACTGGTGGCAGTTCTTCACTGTTAATGACCAAATCATTGTTGGCCTTGGTGTAAATTACTTTCTCCATGAGATGCAACTTGAGTTTTTGGAGAAAATCTTCTAGGCCCATCATTTCCTTAAGTGGAACACCATCACTGGGATATACAATCTGGCAAACCATAGCAAAAAAAAGCAAATGATAGATTATAAATTAAAGACATAACACTGCATACACGTATAAGACAATGTTAAATAATTCATGAGCTCAACAAGCTATCACATCCGCTAAAATCCATCACATGCTCGTGTTAAGCCATGGTAAAACACTGTCAAACAAAAAAACCTGGGGGCTGCATTTGAGTTCAGTCTCAGGAGAGTGAGGAGCTAATTTTACCTTGCATCATTGAGATTCTTTATTTCAAAATTTCATCCTCATTAGTATTCTTTATATACAAAATACTAACAACAACGACATTTTGTGTCATTGTACATGACCTATGAATATTAATTATCTGCACAGCAACTGACATCTGACATTAAGACACGTGATTTTACGCATTTGTGTGAAAATCCAAAATGTTGATGTACTTTATTAAAGCTTAAAACAAGTTCCTGGCCATACAAATGATATTACACGTAAATATATCTGAACACATGTGTACACTCTACCTTTGAATTACTACAGCAATTCTTTTCATTTCCATCACCCAAATACACCTCTCCAATGACACCACATATCCCACAAACAGCTTCAGACAAGTTCCTTTCAGTCATCATCTCGAAGCACCAGAACCCATTGTACAGTAACTCATTGTAATAACTGATCTTCTCCATGGTTGGGCATTGATCCTATAAACCAAAATCAAATTAAGTAAAGTACTTTGCAATCAGAAGACTTTAAAAAAGAGCCAGGTCCTTCATTCACTGGATGTTTCTACAGTTTTATAGATCAATTCAAATAATACTTTTGGTGTAATATATGAGCATTAAAGAGTTATTATCTTGAGATCTGTCTGTTCAAAGTTTGATAAACTTAAGTCAGATTCTAATATTACGTCATTTCAGATGCCACAATAATTTATTACATCTACCTTGTTAAGTTTCATGGTGAGAAGAACTGTTTTCGCTTCAATGAAGTTTAATACTGGACAACCTCTTCTAAATAGCTCTCGCCACTCCAGAAGTATGTCAAAGGAAATGAGAACCTTATCTCTAACATTGAAGAGCCCTAGAAAAGCAAAAATATATTTATTATTGATTTTTAAAACACTGAGCCAAGATTTTATAGGGATTGCTCAAGGTGAAAGTTAAGCCAACAAAGAGGACTCATGAATTGAAATAATCATTCTAGAGAAGTTAATATATAGATTTAGCCAGGGCTAAAAGTGAAGCTCCCGTTAATAAATTCATAATTTAAATCAAACAATAAACTTCTAATCCACAGATCAGGGCACATTCATTTGACTTTTGAGGCAAAGGCTGAGTGATTTTAGGGAAAAATCAGAATTTGACTGTCCAAGAGTAAAACAAATTTTACAACAAGTTATTTGTAGACCGAAAAATAGCAATCATGTTCGATCACAGTAGATTATAATTTAAAGAAACACATGCGCCACGATAGTCCTTGGTGGCAGCCAATTTACACGTTGCATTCCTCTGTCTAAAAGAGAGGCCAAAATAAAAATCAGGCCGGACTTTTTTGTGTTCGACAAGTTAAGTTTACTAGTAAATCTTGGCGACGAATCTGGTGGCGTGTAAACCAGCCTTTTAAACATACTTTTTCTCATCACGTCTCAGGTAAACAGTACACAGACCTCGGACAGAATTTGTTCTTTTTTTGCCCTATTTAAACCTATAATTCTGCAGTTTTTCACAATTTTGCAAGAGAATTTGCACTCATTCAATATCCATGACGATCAAAGCACGCACTTCCTTTGCACAACAAATTATAGCATTGACTTATAAAACGTTTTCTGTTAGAAAAATCTGGTCCTATGTGATATGCGGGGTAATAATTATGGGCCTTTAATGAAAACGATAAAAAAAATTCCCAAAATCACTTTTCGGCCAGCGGGACGGGTTCTCACTTTTGACAGGCACCAAATTTGCAGTGCGATTAATAGAGTTACCATTTACGCTTCAACATGATAGAGAAATTGTTATGTTTAGGTTTTATTTCCCTTTATTCATTAAACTGTGTATGATTTTGTTATGTGTAATCTTTAAAAGCGGGTGATATTTACGCGCAGCGTTTTGAGTATTCCTACATGCGATGTTTATGTTCGACTGGAAACAACCGGTGCAGCGATGAAAATTGTGAGAGGGACTACTAACAATCAATAAAATAAGTTTAATTCCGTGAAACATGTACAGAGACAATAATTTTCATTCACGAAGAGAAGTATTGAGAGTAAAGTAGTTAAAGTGTCTCAGAAAATCATGAGTCAGGCAAGCATAAGCTTATTTATGTTTTAAGCCAGCTTCCTGGTGTTCGCTCTTTTTCAAGATGAACTCGAGGCAAGAAAATCGCTCAGAGCTTTCTGTTTACAGCCAAAATCATAACTAAATAATCTTCGGAACCTTTTCTTTGAATTTGCGGGTCAAAAAATGTCTAAAGGCTTTTTAAACCTGATACTATTGTATGTTAGATCATTGCTCGTGTTTTAACTTAAACCGCATAAACCATACACTCGACTTCAGGAAACCGAAAAAAAAAAAACACATCAAAAACAATAATGGCTCAGGCTTACCAGTTGAGATGCTGCTTCTGAAGGTCATCAAATGTTCCAGAATCACTTGAGACTTTTCAACCTTCTTATGCCTCAAGCAAGGGCAAGTGAGTAAGCTCATTTTTGAAAACGATGCCATCCGAAATCGGATTTCCCATGACTTTGACAAGCGGTGCATTTGTCAACAAAAAGCCCAATAAACAAACCAGCCACGAATTACAGAATAATCTTGATAGCAGCTGTATTTCATTTTGTACACCAAGTAGAAAAAGACAGTTTAAAACATCACAAGATGACACAAAACTCTCTCAGCTCCAGCTATCAATAAGCAAGTTTCCAGACGCTGCAAAAATTTTCCGCATAAACTCACCTGTCAAATTTTGACCAATCAGAACATAAAAATTGGACGTAGAGCGTGATCAATGCGTGACAGTGAGAAAAGTCAAAAGCGATTGCTTTCTCTGCATGTAAATGTAAAAGCCGGTTGAATTTTTGTGTCCGAGATCAGTTCGAAGTCAACATTTTAAAAGTGCAGCTCATGAAACACGACTTATTTCATATGCATTTAAAAAAAATTGAACTTGAGCTTGCGATCATTTGAAAAGTAGCAACTTGTCAGCGAATACCTTCAAAATATTACTGGAACTCAAAGGGTCGATACCTGAGCCCGCAATACGGTCAGGCGATACTGGTCAGCAGAAACACTGTTTCGACAGCTGTCAATTAATCAAAACATGGATGTACAATATCAGGTTGCAGGCTCCCAAACTAGCTAGAAAGTGTGAGATTAAACATTGGTATGCCTGTGGTGCGGACGGACGGAAGGTCGGGTGGTCAGTGTACGGTCACATGATTGCCGAATTTTCTAGGATGGATAGATTTTCTACAACGCTATGGGGCTTCGAATTGAGCCCGTGATCAAATAAAATATCAGCGCAAAACTGTAAACACTACGTGACCTCAATAGATAGAAAAATGAGCCCGCGATCCGCTCAGGTGATGATGGTCAGCATATACTCTAGTTTGACAGCTGTCAATTAACCTTCATTAGAATGGCGAGAATTCGAATTAACAGACTACGAGTGTGAGTAGGACATTTCCGTCCGGCATGTAGTGGAAAATGCCAGATTGTGTACCTGAGCGAACCTGAGCCCTCGTTATTAGTTTTCTGATAGCGGTCTGCACATGTGCCATTTTGACAGCTGTCAATTGACCTTAATTTGGCCTGCCAATGTAACTTTAAATGACTGTTAGCCAACTGACAGCCTTGCCCGGCGTAGTTTCGTTTTTATGTTGAATTGGTAAGTGTGACATATTATATCAGCTTATATATAGGGGCAAAATGACTGGTCTTTTACCTGAGCCCGCGAGACGGTCATGTGATAATTGTCAGCGGATGTCTGATTTTGACAGAAGTCAATCTAATCGTACTCATACGGATGGCTTACATAACTAAGAGGCTAGTCAAGTTGTGCAAGATCTATTGTGACATTTGACGTCGGCTTAGATGAAGTGTGTGTACGGACGGGCGTACGCTACGTCATAACCAAATTTTCTGGGATGGATAGTTTACCAAATTTTCTTACCCATGGTGCTCCGCTGCGCGCGCGCTTCGCGCGCGGGAGTTTCGCTATGAGTAAAAGGATCTTAAACATTGGCAAATCAAGCACTGAGCTCAATTGTTTACATTTTTTCCCTCACCAGTGGAGGAACTAAGAAGTTATTACCTAATCCTAATTAAAAATTAAACACTTTTTTGGCTTCGAATGTTTCCATGAATAATTATCATGTGTTTCAACAGGTATCCAAACCCCCAAAAGTTGGTTTGAAAAAAGAATTGCACACCCACCATAGCAAAGGACAGTGGTCACGACATTGGTCCGAGGACAAATTTCTCTTGACCAACGGTGGCTCAGTCAACAATGAAAACCCAGAACAAACGTTTCCTCTTGGAAATCAATCACAGTTTTACACGTTAAAAGTACAAACTCAAACAATGATCATTCACAGGTAAAAACTAACTAAATTTCCGAAATTTGATCTCAGACCAATGCCGTGTCCACCCTTGAAATCACAGTGTCTGGAGAAAGAATAATTTTGGAAATGGCCCTAGAAAATGCTTGTTTCCAGCAACATGGCTGTGTTTCTGTGCTGCCTTTACTTCATATTATGAAGACAGTGAAAGGGGTCACACAATAACAGCCAAGAAACCGACTAAATCAATGAATTTACACCAGAAAAAACAGAGGAATACATAAAAGTCTCCTTTATATATTTTATAGAAAAAAGTCAAAATCATGATATTTAGCGTTCGTAGACATCAGAATTTTATTTCTCAACGGTCGCTAATGTAACGCGACACCGATAGTCTTGTGAGTGAGCTTGGGAAGCCTGTGATAACATATGAAGCATATACCGGTACATATTTAAGTAACTAACCTTCCTCAGTTGGAAAAACACGATGCATCGCCTTACACAAAGACGCGCTGCATTCTTTTACTCTGACAACCACCTTTTTCAAGTGGTTCAAATTGCTGTACAACACACTGCCTCCTCTCGAACCAGAGTGAACCTTGGATTGACCCAAAGGATTTCCACAGAGTCGACAGGATGCATCAGCTACCTCAAATATGGATGACCAACCCTGCCCAGAACAAGAAAGGTGAGTTGCAGCATCTTTGCGGCTGACCAGATTAAGGCATTGTGTTGAGTAACAGTATGGCAACTTCTCGTTTGCATACAGTTGCAACATAGATGCCCTTGAAACGGGATGTTGAGGGTCTTCGCTTAGTGAAGAGGTAGATTCAGAGGAAGGAGCAGCTGCTGAAGTTGATAGTACTGTTGTTGAAGAATTAACAGTATTGTGCTGCTCTGTTCAGCAAAAGAGGACATGGAGATGGTCACAAATGGCTCGAGATTTTTTCCTGCTTTCCCTTCGCAAGAAAGCCTTTACAGCAACACTTCTGATATTTTCCATTCTTGCCATCTTCAGCCTTCACGTGGCAAAAGCCAAGAGTGTTAGTGGCACTTGGTGGACAATAAACAACAAAAGTACGGTCAGAGACTTTATACACAACCTCGTGACCTGCGGGGACGACCACGTTCTTCAGCATTTCTTTTGTAGCAGAATCGCACTGGTAAGAAGATATTTTGTCTTCGGTGAGAGAAAAAATGCCACTGGCTTCCACGCTCTCTGCCACGTGCTTTAGGTGCTGGCAAGAAAATTTATCTGTCTGGTTGCTTGATACATACATGGCACGAATGTCCTTGCATTTTGAGTGTAGGCAAATCCAGTTGTCGCATTCTTTGTAAACAAAACATCTATCGTCCCTGGTGCTTGTTTGCACAGCGTAAAGTCCACCATGATCTTGGCCGCGGCTGAACCTTCCAAATGGTAGCTGCAATTGCTGCATTCTACTGGTTTCGAGCAGTTAAAATACACCGTTGCTTAATTCGGGCAAGAGCCCTGCCCCCAATTGCTCTAACTAATCATTAAAAGAACAGTGAATTATCAAAACTGACTAAATTGTAGGTAAATTTTCGAAACAAATCTCCTACGCGACTCACGGATGAACTCTCACCAGGGTTCGTACCCTTTTTGGAACAAAAACTTCAAGGACTTTCAAGGACACATTTCGCATTTTCAAGGACTCCATTCAGTGCAAAAAAGAGCCTTGAGTCTATGTCTGTTTTAGTTCTACCCCAACATGAGCAATTTTATCCTGAAGGTCTTTCATATTAGGTACTTGAGAATCTGGGTTGGATAAAGTTAGCACCGAAATTCAAGGACTTTCCAGCACCGACTGCAATTTTCAAGAACTTTCAAGGCCTTGAACTTTTCATTTCAAATTTCAAGGACTTTCAAGAACTTTCAAAGTGCCTGCGAACCCTGTCTCAAATATGTGCCAAAGAATTATTCTTTATTGACCAATGAAAATGGACTTCAAAAGCACTATTCTTTATTGACTAATGAAAAACTTGCAACCACTGCAACGGAAGTAAAGTTATTGACCAATCACAGGACCCGTTCCGACGGCTTCGTATCAACTGATCTACCGATCCAGCGATCTACCGATCCCACGATCTACAGATCCAGTGATCTACCGATTCCGCGATCTATAGATCCATCAACCTACCGATCCAGCGATCTACCGATCCAGCGATTTATAGAACCAGCGAGCTACCCATCCAGCGATCTATTGATTCATCGATCTACCGATTTTCATTTTTCTCACGTATTCGTACGTGCCGCGGTCTCTATTGTATGCCTCCTGAAGGCCGAGCTCTTGTACCTAGAAGAAAATGAAAAAAGGTTAATTAATGTTTAAGTCGTGTTATTGTACTGACGTTTTGTTTATTTGATTTTTCAAAATATTATGTTTGTATGATTTTGTATTTTTGATTTGGCTTTTTTTTTTCAAACCTATCATACTTATAAAACTTATTATTACACTAACCTTCCTCCATAAGGCTTGCGTCCAGTGGAAGGAACAGCCCATCAACTCCACATTTGGGATCACCTGGCGGATGGCGCTCCACATCGCCTTTTCGAAGTCAAGAACTATCTTGATAACGCGTGACTGGTTCGGCAGGAGGGAAATCACTGTCTCCAGGACGGCTTTGTAATCGCGCTTCTTCCTCCCAGACATAACAACGAAGACAAGGGGTACTTGCTTCACGTGGTCGTCGTTTCGCACAAAGGCATTGACGGTGAGCAACTGCGAGAACGGCTGACGGCAGAGTTTAAAGGTGCCATCGATATACCAGGTTTTTGACTTGCTCAACACTTCCATCTGTCTGTCTGATGCAAAGACCAAACGACGGCGTCCACGGATCTGAAACACAAAAATCGTTCGTTAGCCCCTTACTTGAATTAACTAAACACACACCGGTGAGTGTTATTTACAAATTTTATAACATATTTTCCGAAGTTGCTAATCACGGTTAGTTTATCTTGGGAAACAAAAGCGACAAACAAAAGCAGAAAAGTCACACTTTTTGAATTGAATTATAACATCCTTTCCAAAGTTGATAATTACGGTCAGTTTATCCCAGGAAACAAAAGCGGAAAAGTCACACTTTTTGAACAATGTTATACACATTAAAAAGTAATTTAGAGCAAATCACTTCACTTCGCTTTTTGACCAAAAAAGGTATAACTTCCGAATTTTTTCTTTGCTATATAATATATATATATAACTTACTTATTTGTTTAACCAGTATGCTTACCTTGAGATCTTCGCGAAGAAAGCCGTCAGGGATGTGTTCTGTCTCCAATTCAAAGTCCAAGTCTTTAGGGTCTTGTGGTCGCAGCTGTTCGCGGACTCGGTTAGCAGTTCGTTGAAGACTGTCCAGATTGGGTAGGCTGGGACAAGGAGCATCTGTCAGTTCATTTAAAAGAATATCGTTTACCACCTCAGATGCCGGTTTAAAGACGTCCTTTGAAGCTTCCCTCTTTACCAGGCACTTGATTTTCGTAGCAATCATCGCCCCGACTGGTGCAGCGTGATTATGTTGGTTCCTTCCCATTTCGAACACGTTTTGCGATCGCTGTATTACCGTAGCCTTGCAGCGGTTACCCTAAAAAAAGATTAATTCTGTATTAAGTAAATTTCACTTACAGTCTCACATTCTCCGTTAAGGAGGATTTCAATTGTTGCGTAATTTTTGCCTGTGCACGCACGTAAATTTTATAGGCAATGTACGGAAGGTTGCGCGTAAACGTAAAAGTTAAACCTGGCCCAACTTTCACGTTTACGCGTGTAAATTTTACGTGCGTTGGCGCGGAAAAAATTGAAAACGTACTTTATTAATTTTTGTTTAATGAAATGGATCTTACCATAGGTCGCACCGTGCATTGCCAGTCTGTTGCATTCACACGCTGCCTCTTCACGTTATAACTGTATCCCCGGTTGTCAATCAATTTCCGTTTTCCTCTCTCGCTACCGCCCTCAAGGAACTGAAAAGTCAGCGGTTCAGTTTCGGCTTCCACTGGGTTTGGCGTAGGATCGTCTATGGTAGATTCGTCGAGGGCTGGCTGGGCTGGGGGCTCGTAGACAGTGGACTCAAAGAAGTCGGAATCACTTGACGGCAAGGGAGGGTTGAATTCTTCTGATTCCAAGATGTCAGTCTCAGACTCTGATATCCTGGTGCTCTCAGCCACTGGATCAGCATCAGGACGGCTACAGGACGGACAAAACCAAACGATATCTGCTCCGGCTCTTACGGCAGCGCGATAGTCTTCTTGAGAAATACCTATGAGAAAAAGAGTCCGAAATGTGGAAACTGTTACAATCATTACAGTCAATTATCACCAGAAATAAAACCTTGAATAAAGATTCCATAGCCTGAATTTCAAAGATCCCTGTTGTCCATTGCAGATCAATCGTTAATAAATTTACTGAATTTAGTTTCCAATAAATACTGTTCCGATCTTAGGAAAAATAAGTTTAAAATTATTAAATGTTACCTACCAGTATTACATGTCCGATGGTTCCATTTCAGGCAGCCATCACACTGGATGCCTCGCTGTCTGTCTCTTACTGGTTGTTTACAAAATATACAGTTGTCGGCCATTCTGGTTTTTCGCTTGCGTAGATTACGGTAATAGATTTCAGAGTTGTCCTGGGACGGTGATCAATGATCGAATGACGGTTCCATTCAACGCTTCAGCTTTTATACACACGATCGGATCACATTAATTCATCTTAACCTTGATTTGTTAGTTTCTTTCATTCATTTAAATAGGTGATAACTAATGATAATTTGCTAAGGTTTAACGGTTTTCAATAGAACTCGTACGTGTTTTCTAAGAGGTAAGTAAAGTTAGATTCTCTAAAGTACCGGTATTTATGAAGTACCAAACGTCTTTATCTGACTCACTGACATTGGTGGATAACTTTTCATAAAAAAATACGGCCTTCCATATATTTCAGTTTAATTAGCTTTTTGTCGATGAAAAGTAAAGTGAAAGTAATATGTTTACAATTACCTGCACATATATCAACCGCACGGTCCTACCGCACGTGGAAAAGATCGTTGGAAAAGGCCTGGGTTCAAATAGAAGTGTTAGGTTAGGTCGTGTCATGCGTCGATCGACTTTAGGATTTTCTTCAGTCTGGTTCTCCTTTAAGATTTAAAACTGTACTCTCTGTGCTAACCCAGATGTCAAGGATATTTTGCGTTCTCCAAGACCACCGTGAAGTTGATCGATAACAAAATCCATCGATTGAAACATCAAAAGAAGAGAAGGCAGGAGTATAACTGATAAATTTTATAATATCATAACTCACAATGTTGTGGTTTTTTTAACTTTATATATCACAATGTGGTTGGGGGCTAATCGTCTAGAAAGTGGGGGCTAATTGTCCATAATGTGGGGGCTAGTTGTCGGGGGCTAATTGTCTGGGGGGCAAATTGTCCAGATTCCTTCGATCTAATGTACGATGCTTTTAGTCGCTCCTTATTTTGATTATTGCTCCGAAGTCTGGGGATGTATGGGAAAAGGCCTGTGTGACCGACTCCAGAGATTGCAAAATAGGGCTGGGAGAATTATAACATATAATGATTATAACACAAGATCTGCGGATATCCTCCAAGACTTGAGATGGGATACCCTTGAGCAAAGACGCTCTAAGCAGCTCGCAATAAGTGTTTTTAAATCTCTAAATAACCTTTACCCTAAGAGTTTAAAGAACATGTTTAAACCAACCTCCGTGGTTCATTCCTACAATGTGCGAGGTGCCTCAAACAACATTTTTGTACCAAGGCCCCGTACTGAAGCTGCTAAGAGGGTTTTTAGCTATAGGGGAGCAGTTATGTGGAATGGCCTAGAAAATGTGCTTAAAGACGAGATAAATCTCAACTCTTTCAAGCCTGCCCTATCTTTGTCTTGAACCAGGGTTGCCTTGAGGGAGTTGAGATAGAATTTTATTTTAGTTATTTAATGTACCTTTAACGTTGATTGATTTTTGTGTAATAAATTATAGGAAAGATTTTCTTAATATATAGATATATTTTAGCATTTATGTAGTTTCGCTGAAAATTTTGTTATGTAAACGACTCACTGGAAGAACATTTTTATTGAAGTGATACCGTTAATAAAGCTTTATTGATTTTTTGATTTATTAGATCCATCGATTTACAGATCCAGCGATCTACAGATTTATCGATCTACCGATACATCGATCTACCCATCCTTCGATCTACAGATCTAGCGATCCTGCGATCCAGCGATCTACTGATTCAGCGATCTACCGATCCAGCGATCTACAGATCTTGAGATCTACCGATAAAGCAATCTACCGATCCAGCGATGTACCGATCCAAGAATTTACCGATCCAGAGATCTACCGATCCAGCGATCTACCGATACATCGATCTACCCATCCGTCGATCTACAGATCCAGCGATCTACAGATCCATCGATCTACCGATCCAGTGATCTACCGGTACATCAATCTACCGATCCTTCGATCTACAGATCCAGCGATCTACCGATCCAGCCATCTAGAGATCCATCGATCTACCTACCGATCCAGCGATGTACAGATCCATCGATCTACGGATCCATCGATCTACCGATCCAGCAATCTACAGATGCAGCGATCTATACATCCAGCGACCTATAGATCCATCGATCTACGGATCCATCGATCTACCGATCCAGCGATCCACCGATACATCGATCTGCCCATCCTTTGATCGGTATCCGGTCGTTTCGCCTACGGTCTGTTCGCCTACGAATAGAGTCGATTCACCTACGTCTTATATGTCAGTTCGCCTACGAATAGAGTCGATTCACCTACGTCTTATATGTCAGTTCGCCTACGAGTCAGATGTTGAAGCTTTAAAGCTGAATTATTAAAAGTCCTTGTTCCTTGTATTATTCCTTCCATTCTATCCTCGATGGCTAGAAAAACAACGCGCTAAAACATCTAAGTTCGAATGTTTTTAAAAACTTTATTATGGTGGAACCCGGTCGTCTACGAATAGAATGTGTGAAAGATATTTGTAAAACTGAGCATTAAGATGTGTATTAAGATATTCCTGGAGGCTAAAGTGACTGTTTCGGATTGCCATAATTTTTTAGCAGTGAAAAGGCAATGTCATCACGAACTGGCATGCAAAATTTCAGGTTGAGATACCCAAACTATACCGAGATATACGCGAGCAAAGTTTTGGTCCTAAGGCCAATTTGCCGGGAAAAATAAGACGCCCTACCGCGCTCCAAACACCATTTACTTGATTTGGAAATCCCAAAGGATGTTGTTGTTGACAGCTCGTTGACATAAAACCTTGTAATCTGATACGCACGTTTCTCTTTGATCGGAAAAAGTCATGGCTGCAAGGAACAACGAGACAGCTCTGGACGATTTGGATGCGGCGTTCCGCAATAACGGGTAAATGAATTTCATTTTTAAAAGAAAGTTGTTCTTTCTGTGTTTGCATTGATTTGGTTTGGTTAACAAAATATCTGTTTGTCGATTAGTTTTCAGGGAAGTCCAGCGGGCCTTTCAAGGCTGGTTCGAGGATTCCATAAAAAGCCTCGGGAAAGCGACGAGGAGGCAAGGAGGAGGTTCTATAGACGAATTTTTGGCATTTTATGGGTATATTTCAATTTCAATTTGATTGTTCTTTCAGATTTGATAAAAAACATATCGTAGTTTTCAGGTAACATCTTATGAGCGCTTATCGCCACGCCGCATGCCACGCAAGCCAGGTCATTGATGCGCAGCAAAATTTCACGTGCATGCCTCGAAGTAATTCCGTAAAATACCAGCAAATAAATGTCACCTTGTGAGTACTTTTTCTTTATTACGGATCATCTGTTTGTTCGTTTTTATTCCTTTGAGTAAATATACATGAAGAGTCACGTTAGGATTGCTGGTTATTGGAGACATTCCTTGTCTGTAAATTTTTCTCCGATTAATAATACAAGCAAAAACGAATGAGGCTAGTATTCAACCCTAAAGAATATGACTTGATAAGGGATTTATCAAATGGCTATGGTACAGCAAAACATTTTGTTTTGGTAACTCCACTCACGAAAAATATGTCTCTCTCCCCAGCTTTGGTGACCGAACAGGGCTAACAATTTGATTTATCTCAGGGGTGGATCCATGATTTTTCTCAGGGAGGGTGCAGCATCAAGTCCACAGGATACCCATGAATAATAGGACATTTGACGATGAGGCATACAAAATGTCTGCTCTGACCAGTAGGAGAACTAATTCTCCAGACTTCAGTGCCAAACTACCATTTTTAGTTATTCAACCTTGTCTGGTGTACTTCGACACCAATAAACCACATTTTTTTCTTTTGCAAAATACCGGTTGTATAAGAAAGCCGTGTCATTTTAGAGGAGGGGGTGCATCCCCTGCACACTTCCCCCAGATCCGCCTCTGCATGTGACTCACTTGCACAATAATCCATATAATAAACTACATTCTTATCCATTGCATAGCCTTTACAGGGTCATAATATTGTTTCTTTGTTTTTTGTTTTTTAATAGTTTGGTAACAAAGTTGGAGAGGGCCAGTTCAGGGGAAAGTCCCTGCCCACTTATTTGTACCCTGAATGTGTGAAAAACATCATTAGGGAAAAACTGTCTGAAGAGCTGAGGGATTACCCAAATCCTGAAACTCCTGCGGTAAGAATTACTGTTATGTTATGAAATAAATGTTAGTACCTGGCCCACCCCTAACCTCCCATCTGTAAACTCCACTGTTACATCTTTGCTTCTCAAAAGCAGGTTGTATATAAAAAAGCTTCCCATTTTGATTTTTCAGTTTCAGGCATTGAAAAAAAAGTAGTCACATTATCTCGTGCCTCCTTATATCTCTCTTCAGGGTTTTTTGATGGACATATCATTATTCATATAAAAAGGTTTCGAATTCCCACCACCAAACTAACATTGCACTTTTCTTGAATTTCAGGTCTACAAGGTCACGATGTCAGACTAATTCACGGCAAAATGGCCTGGAGATAAATGAAGTTACACTTATTTTTTTAATTATTTTATTCCAAAATTGTATTCAATAATCTAGTGCATTTCCGCTTATCTTTTCTACAAAAATTTGAGTAATCATGATATATATTTGGAAATAAACATGTGCTTTTAAAATTCCTGGTATAATTATCATGCTTTTTCCAAGTAACAGTAATCCATGTTTCTTTATCCCGGTAATTGGTCTTGAAAATACATCCGTCTTTCTAATGTTCACTTCCAAAAGGCACTCCTTTGTGGTGCCAATGGTCAACCTTACAGTTCAATTCAAGTAATGCAGTAAAATTGCTCTTTGAGACCATGAAAGAGAACTGTATCTACTCAAAATGCATGTGCATCATATCACTAACAAAAGGGTGTCTTTGATACTGGAGCAAAAAAAAATGGATTCTTAAGTTATCACTTGGCTATTATTGTCAAAACAAATTACTATTATCCCAATATCAGCCACCAATGTAGCCTGTCAGGTCTACAAATATAATTATAATCACCATGCAATTTGTTGATGAAGAAAACAAATGACATCAAACAAACAAAGTTGCCCTGATGACAGTGTGGTTTAGAGAGCTTCCACTGGATCCTCTTCAGGATCAGTGAACCAGATTGTAACAACAAACTAAGAGGGTTCATTATTGCCCATAGCTACTGGTTTACCACCTTTTCCACAAAATGCAACATTCTCAGTTACCCATGCTGTGTTCAAATTACTGCTGAAAATAGGGCAGTGTAAAATGCAGACTGCTCACTGACTGTGGACTATTGTCTTTAGGGGTGAAAAACAATGGGGTATTGTTGTCATGTACTCATTTGCACGGTGAACACAATGGTCTGCAGTCTGTACTTTTCACTGATGGCTGCTGAAATACATTCAGATTGAACATTTTATTGTTTCAAAATTATCTCAGTCAATTGGGCCTATAAAAGTTCTTGGACACTGGCTATCTTAGACAAGAATGAATTGTTTTGCCACCGTTGATCCAATTTAGAACGGTTAGATTACTGTAAATGATGATAACAAAGCAAGAATAAATATTCCATAAAAGGCCTTACAGAAAAGCAGTGTCACAAAAATTCTTCAGCCAGATTATTTTGGTCACTGTAACTGTTATCAAAAAAGGAAAGTCTTGTTTGAGCAAAAGCCCTACACCTTTAACTTATTATATGGGCAGTCTTTGTGACTCTTGCGGGAGTGAGTGTTGCTACCACACCATTTGCACTTCTTCCCTCCCACTTCTACAACTGCTCCGTGGGGTGCTGGCATAGCAGTATCAGATAGAGTGATACCAGTTGCACTTCCATCACGGACTGCAGCCTCAGTGAGCCACACTGCTTCTTCTTCAACCAGGTCATCCTCTGCATCCTCACCATAGGTGTGCTGTATTCGGCAATTTTTGACATATTTCTTTCTGAAGGAAAGAAAACAGACAAAGATTGATATCAACAACAACATAAAAACTGAAAATCTGTTTTAGCTTGGCTTGTCTAATAAAATGCATTTGTTATCCTTCCCAGTTTATCAGAACATTTTGTGTCTAAGTAAAAGCAATTAGTAAATATCTCCACAATGTACAGTAGTCCCTTTAATTATAGCTAAGACAAGCAACTACCTCTAGTCTAAAGTTTACACATTAATATCGAAATAGAAGACAATGGAACATGACTCTAATGAGGTAAGAGAAAGTACCTTAGCTTCTGCTCCTCTGCATGGTCAATTTTTCGCTGAACTCTTTTTCTCTTCCCTTCCGCAGTTTTGTAGCGCTCCAGTCTCTTGTGTCTCTCCTCATTGTCGTGTTGACACTGTAATAAAATGGCCATAGTTACAATAATATTAGCTCTTTATGTTCATAGTATTGTAACATCAATTGCAATGCCCAGTTATCAACATATTTTCCTGTGATCAACAATGACCAGTGATCGACAAAATAGGTGAAACACCAGTAATGTATTACATACGTGTCACACAAATAAAATTTTTGCAGGAAACATGCTCAGATAGGCTTACATAGATACAACATTTAAGCAATAGGCCACACTTTCTATGTGTTTACCGGCATGATAACCCACGTGGGATGTTGGGAGAAGACGATAAAAGCTTGTACATTGTAAAAGTGGGTTATCATGCCAGTAAACCCATAGAAAGTGTGGTCTATTGCTTTTATAAAATAACTCTAAGTTTTCTATGAGTTTACCGGCACAATGAACCATAGGTTTTTAACCAATCAGAGCACGTGCACTATCTTAGTTATGTTATAAATAGCACATACAACAAATCACATACAAAGTAGACAGAATTTTGCATACCATTTCTTGAATGCCATCAAGGATTGGAAGACCCATTCGTGAATAGAGGTCAGGGATCCAATGGTACTCCGGTCCTCTGTTCTTGTAGCACCAAGTCATGTTGGCCTGGAGTAATCCTAGGTTTGTTGCAGCATGGTAATGCTTCATGTGCAAGTTAGTGTCCTTGGCGCGGAATTTAGTGAGAACACTAAATGTCGACTCAGGGAGATTTGAGTGCCCTTTTCCCAAGTCTGGGTCGATGACCTTCTCAGCATCTTTGGCTCTTTCACTGCATTCTATTTCATATGCCAGCGCATGAAATTCACATCACACAATGTGAGCTGAGTGATATTCTTCACCGGAACATTTGAGTTCTGCATAAAATCCATCAACGTCTGCTTCACACTTTTTACAGCTACATTTAGTCAGTGGATGAAAGCTGCAGGAACCCCCCTGCCATTCGTGAATATCTCTACAGTGGTACTTTCCAAGGGGCAACATAGTTTGTCTGTATTTGTCTGGGCTGTTTCCAGCATGGACCATGGCACAATAGTGGTTTCGCTTTGCATTTTGGATGAAACCCGGACCAATACACCCACAAACAGGTTTGGTTCTTGTGGCAACAAATGTATGATTTTTACCAACACAACAACATTTGACAGATTCAGTTGACGGAAATTCTCTTTTGTGTAACGCAATAAAAGCAGATGAAAATGATGACTTTGTTTTAAGCTCGTCAAGCTTCTTCCCATGGGCCCTTCCAACATGGCCCCCACACAACATAATTCGACTCTCTTGTTCACTTGAGTATGACAGGCGAAACCCCTTGGCTGAGGAAGAGTCAGCATCCTGCCAGTTGACTTCCACTTTTAGCCCCTCTTCTTTGGCTTTGGCCCATAGCACTTCACTGAGATGCCCCTCAGCTGACTTGGCTGTCCCCTGCCAGAGTTCCTCATCACAAATGGTGTCAGCTCCTCTCATACAGAGATGCCCATAATAAAGAAGGGCACCAGTAATATAATTCTTGATCACGAATGTGCAGTTTTGACTGAAATGCCCTCTAATCAACCAACACCCATCACAACAAGTAACAGCTCTAGACCAGCTGCCTATCTGGTCGGCTGGGAGTTCCTTCATCTTCTCCTTTCCGTCTTCACACATCTCATCCAACATCGACTTAATATAGGGGAGGGCTAGATCCACAACTTCTAAGAAAGGCTTCTCAGAAACAATTCCCAATCCTAAGCCTCTTCCTAAGGTCTTTCTGTACCCAGCATAACCATGCCCACTAATAAAAAAGGCTAAAGAGATGGCCAAGGACACTAATTGTCGTCTGGATTCTTGGGCAAGGTAACTACGCTTATAATCGATCTCAACAGTCCAGCAACCACAACATTTGAAGGAAAAGACCATTGCCCCTCCAAATCCTTTTTTGCCATATGCTGTAAGAACAAGTTGGCCTGTGAAATAAGTTTGAGTGGGAAAATCATGTAAGGTAACTGTGTTAGAAAAATTATGGTATGAACTCCTACAACTTTATGGAATTGTGAGAGCACTTATGACTGAGAGGGCCACGACCTCTAGCAAAACAGCAATAGTTGTATCGATCATTTTTCACTATGTGAAATTGAGTATTTTCAAACAACGAGGCATGTGAACACTTTGCATTTTCAGAATTGAGCTACCTTATCTTTCTAAGCACAGGTGGCTGAGACAAAATACTATACAACTATCCCCCAAAGGGGAGGTGAATAGTGGTAGATATACCCAGACGCGAAGCGTCCAGGTATATTTCTAGCGCTATGAACTGACCCTGAGGGGTATAGTTGTTTTAGTATTTACCAAATCAGTTAAATGTAAATTTTTACAAAAGTATCTTTTTGTGAAAGAACAAGTCATTCGTCTTAGTTAAGAGTTTGTTTATGTTTCAATTGACATCGTTCCTGGGATCATTTTTTATGATTTTGTTGCAAATTCAGCAAGAAAATAATTTTCTACGTACCAGTACACACCTTCAAGCCAAAGTTCATCGCTTTCTTGGTATTTGTTTGTATGACTGCTCCATTTATAGCTCAAATGAATGTCTGGCAACGAGTTGCCATCTTGGCTTCGGTTGCAAAACAGTGAATAGCCAAGGATATTTCGAGTTACGGGAGCCAATCAAAACGCGTGAAAATTGCAATTCACTGATTTGGTAAATACTTAAAAAGTTTACATTGAATAACATAAATTTCTCCAAGCAATTTGAGTGTTATGTACAACATTACCTAATCTAGCCATATATGATCAACAATCAAACCTGCTTTAACTAAAAAATTGCTGCCATTTGTTGGTAGTCTTGAAACTTTGGCTGATGTTAGGCACTAGCATCAATGTCTGTCCCTCAATGAAAGAATGAAATCCCAATTTAAAAAGGGAGAGTTTGAGTCTAATTTTATTTACCCTGGCTCTCAGTTCACAGACAAACTCTGTATCTTTCACACAAAATCCCTGTCACTGGGCCACCTGCTATTCTAATAACATATTGTAGACCCTAGATATTTATATCTCACCTCTACATCTTCCATTGTTTGATGTGCACTTGAAATATTTATTTACTTCGCCGACAAAATCAACAATGCTGGAGGTTGTCGCTATGAACAGTCCTTCTGGAACTTCAACTCTACAAAAAATATAATATCAGAGTGAAATGTCAATTTCAACTTCATGCTCGTGAGCACTCGATGTAACTCCCTTAGACAGACCAGCGCCGTAGCTAGTATGAGGCCAACCGAGGCACTCGCCTCGGTAAAATTTTGACGAATTTCGCCGATCATTTTTATTTTAGATAAGCGATCATCGGATATTTTTAACGCATCATGATATTACAAAGAATTCAGCAATTCAGTCAATATACTATGAAAAAATTACCATATCATCGATCTCAAGGGGCTACGTACGTTAACTCAAATTTTTTTTGAACAAATACTGATCAAAACCATTGGCGAGGTTAACGGTCACCCAGATTATGTAGCTTGTTTCTGATTATTGCTTTTTAAATTCCACTTAAATTAACTCGAAAAACAGTTACCGAAAGGCCCAGAAAACGCTGCAAATCGCATTTCCGAGAGACTAAAGTTCAAAATTTCTCGGGGGGCATGCCCCCGAACCCCCCTAGCAACTCCCGCCTGCCTCAGTTGGCCGTTTGGTCTGGTTACGGCACTGCAGACAGATTTATACAATTTTCAATCTCTTATACGGAGATTGTGAAACACACTTCAGAGAACGTTGTTGTGCTAACATACAGACATCGTAAACTGCGAATCCTATTGATCCCAGAGTATCTGCGAATCCTCTGATCCCAAAGGTTTTTCCGAAGAGAGAGGAGCGAAAGAGGCAAAATTCCCAAGAATGAGTCGCGAAACAATCGGTATTCACCCAATGGTTCCACGCAATTAGAGTCCAAAAATTTTAAGACCAGTAAAGCGATGACTGTTGGTCTCAGTGTTTCAGTATGAGCCAGTAAATATTATTATAAATATCAAAACTCACCCTTTATCGTGCTTGATTTCTTTCATCGATTGTTTTTCCATTGGGGGCTCATAATCAGAGTCGTCGGTTTCATCAGAGGACGGTAAATCATTCGACCGTCGAAACCAAAGCTCTTGCACCTGGTTTCGGTTCTCTGTTGCATTCAATACGAATTCTTCAAGTCTTCCTTCAGCATGTAATTGCCGCTTTACTTCTTCGGCGCTTTTGAGAGATTTGCCCTCGGGATTCCTATAACTGAACTGCAACGATTTGCCAGAAGACGACTTCGGACGCTCTTCAATCGTCCATCCAGCATTCTTCAGTTTTTCAAAATCACGAGATATTCTCGATTTCGATCCAGAACCACGGGCTTCGTGAGCCTTTTTTGACGCTTCTTTTCTGGCCTTCGACGCTTTTCGTTCCGGCATTTCGCAGTCTACAACACGCGACACAGAAGTGTCATGTCGCGGGGTTCTGAGCTGTCAACACAGCCATTCAAGGTGCCGTTGCTATGGGGAGGTGTCAATGTTTTCTATCGCTTTCTCTGATTGGTTTCGCGGGAAAAATAGAGGCCTTTGTTAGGGCATAACAGTCCGTATATAGAGTATTTTTGGCGTTTTACCGCTGTAAACAATTATCGAACTGTTCAGCAAGATGGCCGCCATCAACCACAGATTCGAAAAGGTACCTTTTGTGGGATATTTTCGTAATTATCAGTCGATTTTCGGCCACAAAAGGCCTGCAGATTAAGAGAAGGTTTATACTAAATTTAACTTCTTTGCGTGGATTTATTGGAAAGGCATGAAACTTGGAGGATATGACAAACACACATACAAGAATCGTTCTGTGGCAGCGCGTCAATATTTCTTGAATATACAACTCGTGACAACATCATAAAAATCACTGACAAGGTAAATTACATTTTGCAATGTAAAATATTCCCGTTTGTGTAAATTTTGACGCACTGCCAAAGTTTGGTAGAAAATGTTGAAAGTAATCGTGTGGCCAAAGATCATGGTCAAAGAATAAATTTTGCTCGAGTTTTTTCAAAAAATGTAATGTGACATGATAATGACCACACCCATAAAAAAGTCAAATTCCTGGAATACTTTAAATTCTTGTTGCAAATAATAATAATAATGGCTTTTCACAAATGGTAATTTGACAGAGGTGGAGCAAGTATTTTTTTTAAAACAAAGCATAAAATTTCAGGGAAAAATGCGAAAAATAGCCTACAGGAATACCTTAAAATGAAATTAACCACCGTTTACGGTCTTTGTTTGGTCGTGTAAAGCGCGAGCAGAGCAGTAAACAAACCACTGTTTACGGTCTTTGTGTAGACTTGTGAAGCGCGAGCGGTGCCTAAACTAAAGAAGGTGAGACTTTTCATTAAAGGGGAACTCCGGGAGAAAAATGACCTTTTTCTTAATGATTTGCCTACATTTGTTGTTTCCATTTTTGACTACTAAGTTAAGTGATTGTTCGTTAGAACGAAGATATTTCACCCTAAAGCGGAGTCAAAAATGCAAATAGCATTCCGCCATCTTGAAAATTGTTTGTCTGCTCAGAAATGGGTCAGCGTTTTCATTTATGACGTCAGAACGTCAAGCGTAATCCGATATTTACTCGGCTTCCAGTTGTGTACAACATTTTGCATCGTCTGCTTTGGGAGTGTTTCTTACCTTTATCACTCTTATAATGTCGAATTCTGGGTCAGAATCCGAGTTGTCCGACGAAGAACAAGGAGCTCAAACGTTTTCTATCCAGCCGTATCAGTTTGAACCGCGGGTAAACACGGATGAGAGGGATATCAACGCTGAAAGTCTTTCTGGCGACGAGTCCATGGAAGGCAGCGAAGAATTGAATCCAAGACTGGAAAATTCCGACTGGTATGTGCTGTGCTGTTTGCTTCATTGTAATTCTTTTACCGATGTGCGAAATAAACTGTTGTTTGGCCCAGATGTCGTGTTCGTAATTGTTTCTTTCTTGTTTTGTTTCGTTTTGAGAGTCTTGAGTACGTAAACATTTCATTATCGAGCGGCCGACAAATTGTTTAGTGTTCCTAGTTTTCAATATGTCTTGCGAATTAGGTGCTGTGAACGTGAAAGCTGTTAAAAACCTAGCATAAATTCCCTCCTCCCCCCGCAGCTGGACTTTTCAAGTAGAAGGGAAGGATTTTGAACAATTTTCTTGGCGCTTCGCTTTCTTTTATATAAGCTAACACTAGCACGGGTGCAAACAAAAAGAATTGTATTTTTGTAAATGTTGATCTTCACTACACATAGGTTCTTTAAGTCAACAGGCGGCCGTTGGTCCCGCCTAACCTATTTCAGGAGAGAATTTTATTTACATGTTTAACTATCTAAATTTGCCAGTGTCCTCACTTTCTTTACTAGCTTGTATAAACAGTTTTCTTCAACTCAAACAAAATTAATCTGCTTCAACATATTTTATCTACATATCACAAAAAAAGTTAGTAACATCTAAATCTTACGAAACCTTACATTGTTGTCTTAAATCAGCTCTCAATTGCTGGTGTTTATCCAGCTTCTTAACCTGTAGCTCATGTTAAATGTAGAACAATTCAGTTTTTGTTTCCCATCTATGATTTAGGTGCTCATGTGATAATTGCCAGATTATGGGGAGAGCGGAGGCATGCATATGCTGCCAAGAAATAGAGCAGGTTAAAAATAAGCTTAGTGAAGCAGTTACTAGTGGTGAATGTGAGGAAGAGCCAACATGCATCACGCAGCATCCAGGGTTCCATCCAGTGTGTATAAATAGATGGGTCCTGCAGACTGCATGGTTTCAATATAAACAACAATACAAAGAATCTTATGATGGTCCTGAAGACAAACTCTACAGGCACATAGCATACAGACAATTGGCCCGATGGTGCTGGGGAATCCTAGGCAAGGAAATCAGGGTTGTGCTTCCTTCATGTGCTGTAATGTGTATTAGGAACTTCTATCCTCCACCTGGGCCTGAGGAGGAGTTTGTCTTTACAGGGTTTAAATATGCAGACGAGTGACATGACTTTTAAGTTTTAAAAAACTGACATCAGGCTGCCAGTGTAAATGAGAAACTGTAAGCCACTTATGATGCATAATATACAGCTATAAAGAGGATATTACAAATAATTTGCTTACATTTTGTAAGCGGAATTTTTAAGCCTTTAGGTTTTTGTATTCTCATTTGACACTATGATATGTTGAAAAGTCCTATACACATGCATCCATGTACATCCATGTCTACACAGGTTATGAAAATGCAAATCTCCTTATGAAAATCAAAAACATGGTGTGAATTAGGAAAACAAACCATGCTAGCTAAAAAGGTCTATTCCTCATTATTTGCAGCCAAAAAACCTCACAAGTGGTGAACTGTTCTTGTCATGTGGGTTTCAGTTTTTTACACGTAATTGGAATAAAAAGACATGGTGATTTGAGTTTCTTATTGTCAAGTTTGGAAAAAATTTCAGTGTTACTCTGATTGACTGTTACAAATAGGAAACCTCCAGGAAATGTGTCAAAGGCTCACTATTGTTAAGTCATCTATTAAATCTTGAACGATGTTGGCGTATTGCATCTGATTTACTAGGTGCTGGTTCTGAGGCAATGTTACTTGGTAGGTGTGGATGAAGTGGCTGTGCAGCTGCATTCCCCTGCTCAACACGACTGAGCACCTCTGAAAGTAGGTCTGACAAGAACTGATATGACTTCTTCTCATTAATTGGTTTGACAACCCATCTTTTATTTGCTTTTGGGAAGCAAAGCTTGTATCGTGCCTCACCTGCCCGTTCACCTGACTTTATCACAGCTTGACTACGGCCAGTGTTAGCATTGTTGTCTAGAGCGGCTAGCTGGGTCCTAGCTACCATGCCCTGGTAAGAATAATGCTCGCGTTTGGAGGCATACTTCAGCATCATTGAATGGTACACCTCAATTTTACCAGTGTGACAGAAGTCAGTTAGTTTAGCCAGATCTTTAAGAAGCTTTTTATTCAGTACCACTTCCTCTAAAGCTATGTGAGCTTGTGAGCCTGGCTTAAGCCAACAAATTTGCTTAGCTTCAGAGGAAGAGATACGTCGGTGGCAACACTGATGGAAGAGTGTGTTGCCTGACCACTTGTGCTTGTTTGCTACATGATCTAAAACAGACTTCCACTTTTCACGCAGAAGCTGCACATTCCCATCGCAGGTTGCCGCGCACCACCAAAGGTGATTGGAAATGGATTGTATCCATGGGGCCAGTTCCTCACAACCCTTTTGTTTGGCTTTGTTTGTAAGTTTTTTGACCACCCACTTGGAGAGATGCCAAACATCATACTGGTGGTTGATGTGTGGAAAGTCCTTCTTCATGCTGCTGCTGATGGAAACATGGCGGTCTGTAGCAATCCTGTTAATCATGATCCCCTTTTCCTCCAAGTCTTGAAGGCAGCGAGAAAAGCCCTCTTTCTCCATGGCATTTGATGAGCTGACTTCTGAGACCTGGACAACATTGAATGCAACCACATCTCCAGAGTCCTCATCCATTAAAGTGTAGGTGCCATATTTGGCACTGTGGCCAGGGCTGTCACACCTGCCATCACCATCGAGATTTACAACTTCCTTGGAAGTCAGTCTGTCTACCTGCCGTTGACTCTCTGCTTCCCATGCCTCATTCACCACAGGGAACAGGTATTTACGCTGGGTGTCATAAAAGACACTTTCACTGAAAAATTGCAGGTTAAAACATGATGCCAGACGACTTATGGCAGCAAAGTTATTACCTGTAAAAAGAATGGATGCTGCCAGTAATAAATTTCCTAGAGGTTTCCTTTTTACCACAGGTTGTGACTCCCATATCATTTTACACCCACTCTGGCACACAAGCTCTACAGATAACATGCTTCCAACAGTTTTCCTCTTCTGTTCAATGACAACATCACCGCATTCCTGGCATCTTTTAAATAAATTATTTAGATTTGAATTAAAGACTACAAATTTTTTTTCATTGCCGGGATTTTCAGGGAACTCATCTTCTGATTCTTTATCATCATCATCATCATCTTCATCAGCATCGCCATAGTGTTTTCCTTTAGGGGGAAATTTCCAGTGAGGATCTAGGTCCTCATCATCAACTTCATCATCTGTGTCACTGACATGACCATCAACATTGTCATCATCATTTTCCAGCCTTGGGTCTTCTTTGTGCAATTGAGTGAAAGGGGTGGTGCTAAAAAAGTTACCATCATAGGTAGGAAACACTGAACTGGGACATGCTGGCAAAGAATAAGTGTGATCCTTCAAAACCTTCCATTGTACAGCATCTACATATGGTGGGACATACATGTAGGGCTCGTTTTGTATAGGGGTGGGGGTAACATTAGCTTTGCCCTTTTTTTGTTTGGAATCCTCAGTTTGAACTGCTACACTTCTTAAGGTAAGAGGCTGACAGCAACACTGAATGCCAATGTCATGCACTCTTGGTTCTGAGGAGCCTGTTTCTTCATTATTATCAATCTGGTCTTGATCTGAAGAGTCTTCCAAGACATCCTCTGAAGAAGAGCTTGACTCATCATCACAGTCTGGGAAGTCAGCAGCTAAAAGTTCTTCCACAGCCTGATGGGATAAAGTTCAATACTTAACAGTATTTTCTATAAATATTTGTGGAATGTTCAATTGTCTGTTTTTATCGTAATGTCGAAATAATGACAAGTGAAATTACAGACTTGACATACAAAACTGAGGGCAAGGGTGTATTGAAGGATCTAACTTGAGGTAAGCACTAGGGAAAAGGAGAGAAAAAAACAGTTCTTATTAACATCTGTAAGAGGCGGCGATTTTTAGTACACGTTGTATCTGCTATGTGGCACAGTCGACTGGATAAAAGTCTCTTGATGTGAGGTGACATCCAATTTCCCATAAGGTCATACAAGTTTTGAATTTTTTTACAAGCTTAGCTTTAGGAGCTTGATAGGATTAGAGTCCTAAAAATTTAAACCTATTTCACTCAGGTTTAGGTGTACAAACTCTCTTTTACTTGCAAATGCCGTTGAATTAATTCTGCCTTATAGTGTTTTAAACCGAACTTGTCAGTTTCTCACTGAGTTCTAGATATGCTAGAGGCAAAACAGGAGCGTGAACTCTCAGAGGTCATCTAATTCGAACTGGACTGCAATCTCGTAGCGTCCGCCAAGCAGGCAAATCGAACAAGACAAGATTTTAGCAAAATAAAACAGGATGATAAAAATTTGCATGAGTGACAGTACTAACCTGTTTATGGTTTTGTTTCTGAAGGCGACTTTCAGATGACAATCGCGCTTTTTTGGGTTCCGGACCATATTTAAACAGAGACCGTATAGCGTCATCCTTTAAATGTTTTCGAACCTTTTCGCCCATTAGTTGTGCACGGAAATCGATCTCAAAACAGCTGGGCAAGAAGTGTTCGCTGCAAACATGGCTGTTTTCAAGGGGTGGCATATCTACACGCCTTACTCGGTCGAGCCATGCCTTCCTTCTATGGTCTTGCGGGAACTTGTGGTAACTCACGGCTTCTCCCGTCTTTTCTGAGTAATTGTGGCAGTCAGGCACAACGCAGCTGACCATTTTCTCCTTTGCTTAATACAAACGGTCAAAAAAGGTTGAATTGGAAGCCACGGACACAATGCAAAGGGACGAAATAGAAAGACGTTCTGCCCTCGTAGTTCTAATATACGAATCTCCCGCGAACCCTCCGCCAACCAACTGCGAACCATTGACGTTCTTACGTCACAACGCACTGCTGACCATTGTAACGCGGCTCGTATTCTTCCCAAGATGGCGGAATACTAGGACGGCTTTTCGGCCAGCTTTTAAGTAAAAGATTTACTTAGCGGTAGGAGTACGGTAAGAAAGTTTATTAAAAACTGAAAGTTTAGATATAGGACTACTATTCTAAATAAGTTCGTTTTTATCCCGGAGTTCCCCTTTAACATATACGAAATTAGCTTCGGCTGCACTTGACAGTCGGTTCAATTTCTACGAGGATAAGTTCAAGCTGGCTTCAGCAATAGTGGAAGAGGTATTTAAATTGCACCTTACGGACTTACAAGTGAACTTAGTTAATGGGAAATTTCCGATTCAGCGATCTACCGATCCAGGAATCTACTGATCCAACGATCTACAGATCCAGAGATCTACCGATAAAGCAATCTAGCGATCCAGCGATCTACCGATCTAGGAATCTACCGTTCCAGCGATCTACAGATCCAGAGATCTACCCATAAAGCGATCTACCGATCCAGCGACCTACAGATACATCGATGTCCATATCCATTGAGCTACCAATCCAGGGATCTATAGATCCATCCATCTACTGATCCAGCGATCTACAGATCCAGCGAGCTACCGATCCAACGATCTATAGATCCATCGATCTACAGATCCAGCGGTCTACAGATTCATCGATCTACCCATTCTTCGATCTACAGATCCATCGATCTACATATCCAGCGATCTACCGATACAGAGATCTACCGATAAAGCAATCTACAGATCCATCGATCTACAGATCCATCGATCTACTGATCCAGCGATCTAGAGATCCCGCGATCTACAGATCCTGTGATCTATAGATTCATCGACCTACCGCTCCAGCGATCTACAGATCCACCGGTCTGAGTTTCCTTCGTGTTTTTGTCCTTCTCTTCTACAATTTAACGCAAAAAAGATTAGGGTGATAACTACAATTGCAATTTCGGGACCGATCTTTGTTGCAAAGAGATGTGAAGATTTGTGAAGTGTTTGGTGCAGACGTTCATTACATTCTGTTCCTTGTCCTGGTTCAATTTCAGAAATGCATCCTTTCTTAATACACAGGTTTTCCAAATCTCTGAACGTGTTTGTTTGGACATTCTGATTCAACGTGTGTTTCCATCTCTTTATGAAGTTGTCCAAGTTTCATTCAACCTCGGGCTCTGGTGTTGTTAAGCAGTGAGTGGCTCCACAGTCACCGTCCTTGCGAAAAAGTAATCTGAATTCTGTGGAAATTTGCTGCCAGGAAATATCGACTCATATTACCTTTTAACTTTACAACAATGATCAACAATGACGGTTTCTAAAGGGTTGTCTAAAGAATATTTTATTTCTTGAAGTAGGTCTCTTATATCCTTGAATGCAGGGCTTTTCGTTAGCCTCCAACCGCCGACTTTATAGTCTTCATTCAAAACAATAAAAAGGTTCTCGAATTGTTTGATGTTCTTAGTGTCACTCCCCCTAGAGGCACAGATTTATTTACTTACTTTAAAAGTGTGATCGCATGTTATGATTTTGCTACTACGGGCAGTCTTTTCCATTTCCGCGTCATAATAACTCTTCTTGTGGACAAAGTTTCGAAGAAATAATCCCATCGCCTTCTTGTCCCCTGGGAACATCGAGTGGCTGTAAAAGTTGTCATAATCCAGTTTCGTTTTATTTATGTGGCTGTTGGAGTCTTGGTATGTCGAAAAACAGGCCATCCGTTCAATGAACTCTTTGAAATTTAGATCAGCAATTCCTTCACAAATCACCAGGAAATTTACACCTTGCAAGCTCTGAGTTTCCACAAAGTCTACTAATTGCTTTGTACAAGACGATTTGTGAAACATCACGAACGGGAAACAACAGAGTCTGTATAACTTTGGTATGTTCTCAATTATTGACAAACTTGCAGAGAAATACTTGTGCTTCATTCCTTCTTGTGGGCAGATATATAGTCTTTGGATAAGTAATACATTTCCACGTAAATCATAGACGAGGCGCGCATTCCTTGGACCATTCCTTTGAAGTTTATCAGTGAAGAATCCAGCCTTAAGTGGCAACTTATGCAGAGGGCAAAGAATATCCAAGCCATAATGGTGCATTGGGCACCAAATAAAAACTTTAGGTAGTAGGAAATCCTGATATCCGTCTCCGAAGCGCGAAGGAGATATGACATTGTCATATCTCCTACTCTGTGGATCAGTTTTAAATTCCACGATCAATTCCTTCACGTAAGGATCGACTTGAGCACTGTGTGTAATTGAACAGGAAGGCCTCGGCTCAAGCAAGAGAGGGAGTATTCCTAAAGAAAATAACCACAGACTCATCAGACTGCAGCTCCAGAAAGGGTTTTTCGATTAAGTAGTCTTAGCCAACGAGCAAGCTGGCGAAAAAGGTAGGAGAGCTTGCCCTTGGAATTTGAATATCTGCATTGAACAAGTTGATGCGCAATGCTGATTGGTGGAGATGACATCATTACCTTTGGCACGTGTTTTCACGTGTTTTTCTACGTTTGTTTTATTCGCGCTGACTGGTGGAAATGACAGATCAGCGGACAGGGGAATTGGAGGCGGAATTCAAATTTCATAGACGTAGTTGCCAGCTCTCCTTCCTTTTCCGGTCCCGTCACCATAGCGCCCTGGAGAGCTTGCTTAACTCCACTCCAGCATGCAAGTGTTACTTCGCACCTCGCTAGAGGACTTCCGTTAACATATTCTGACATGGCTATGGATGCGATTAAGTTTCTCTGTGTTGAAATTCAGGCCAGAAACATACTCAAACGGAATTACTTTTCTTTCTGATGAAAAAGGTGCAAATATATGTATTGTTGACGAGCATGTGCTTTTTTGTCTATAGCAATCAGTTCTAGTTTTATAAATACAACTCTGTCTGCACGAACTTCAATAAAAACGTTGTAGTCTTCTGAGGAGTGGGGGAGGCTAGGTGGGGCAAGAATGTGAATGTTCGTAGTATTTGACTCTTGCTATTTAATTAGATTACACCACTTACACTTGTGTCCGTACTTACTGAAATTTGAGGTGTTTTAAAAAGCAACTCGGTATTAATAGCGGGATAAGGACCTTCCCAAACTTCAATGTTTAACCCTTTCACTTACAAAAGTTTTTGTCTCTCCTATGACAATCAGTTATAGATTATCGAAATAAGAATTTATGCGTAAATTTTAGTTTTGTGAACAAGTCTATCAGCGGGAACTTCAATAAAGATGTTGTTGTCTTCAGAGGAGTATGGGAAGGGTTGGAGGTCAAGAATGTGAATGTTTGTAGTATTTGACACTTTATTTTAATTAGATTACACCAATTACACTTTTGTCGTATCAATTTTACTTGCGGTGTTTTAAAAAGCAACCGGGTGTTAATTGTTGTATAAGAAACCTTCCCAAACTTCAATTTTTTACCCCTTCACTCCCAGAAGGGGCCAGAGTCAAAATTTGACAAAAGTGCCAAATTTCATTTTGTACAACGCTGAAACCAAAAGTACCTTGTGAAAGACGTTTCGTTTGAATGGTCCCACGATAGGATTTCATCCACAGATTACTGAAGGTATAACCACTTTACGAGACTCCATCATTCTCTCTGGGAGTAAAAACCAACAACTAAGGCACTCAATATCGCAATACACTGTATGGGGTACAATGAGCCCTGAAACATTTATTATTGACAGTATCAGTTTAGTTCTAGTGTACCGAAATTCATGTAGTAAAGTCCACATGAGAGCGCACAAAACGGCAATATCAATGCCTCCGACGAGATAAATTGACAAGGTACATTAACTATGTGGTTACAATCTCTCTCTCTCTCTCCCCAAAATGGAATATCCTTTTAATATCACTGCCGAAGAAACTATCCTACAGATAACCACTTTGCTGAATGGCTCATTTCCTGCAACAGCTTTGTATAATTCAATTAACACCGGCATTTGGCTTTGCCACTCCACCAACAAGAAGCAGATAAAGGACGGACCAAAGAAATAACCTGAGGTGGGACGACAACTCCTTAAAAAATTTCCTGCAAAAAAAAATGCACTGAAAATTTTTCACTCCTTCTCCATTAAAGTTTATTATGCCTCGACGACCCACGATAACTGGTGACTGGCAATAACTGGTGACTGGTTAAAACCAGTCACAAAAGCAGTGATTGATGATATGACCACCATCTCATGCCACCCAGTGTGAATTTTTTTTTTCCGGTGCAGATGTTTAGACGTGAATAAATCAGGCTCCCTATTTTGTGTGCAGTCAAGGCATTCACAATCATAATAGGCTTGTACGAGATACGATGAGTCCTATTATTATTGACAGTACTAGTTTAGTTCCAATGCACACAACTTCTTTGCTCGACCTTAGCGGTAGTCCACTAGTCCTGGACTAGTGCAAAAATGCTTCTAGACTAGTAGAAACTTCGAACCACTAGTCACAGGACCAGTAACTACTTTTTAGTTTGTAATGTTTAAAAAATAATTCAAAGTGAAAACAAAATATACGTCTTGTAAACGCTGTTTCGATGTGTTCCTCGCAATGTTACGATCGCGAAGAATGATAGTCCAATGCGAAGCCTGAGGCGAGAAGACTAAACAAGGCTGAGGTTGGGACTGAGCATTAAGGAACTCCCAGCCCACCATCTTTGCTCGACTGCCCATGTTATTATCATGAAGAGATTGTAGACGTATTTTTCTAGTTCTTACAGCAGCGATTATCCAAACAAACGCCAGGAAGAAGGCAGTGGATGCTCCCTTGAGGACAATGCGTGTTCGCACGCGTAGTTCCCCATGGATTACATCTGAGCTTAAGAAACGAATGCATGATCGGGATATTCTAAAGATTAAAGCAAGTAAATCGAATGATTCAAATGACTGGTCACTTTTTAAAAAACAACGCAATAAAGTAAATAGCGAAATCAGATTAGCCAAGCAAGCCTATTATCAAAATAGTTTTAACAAGCATACGGGCGATTCTAAAAAGACCTGGCAGACTATCAATGAACTTACTTCGCGAAAATCTGGGAAAAAATCGGTGACATCTCTGAAAGTAAATGGAGTATCAATAACAAATCCAACTGTGCTGTCGAACCAATTTAATAATCACTTTGCTACTATCGGTCCAGAACTTGCTAGCAATATTGATTCCTCAAATAGTGATGGTTATCAAAAGTACCTCACTGGCACAGATAAACGGTTTCCGCTCCATTCGACCAGTACAAATAAAGTTCTCTCACTTTTGAATCGTCTAAACAAGTCAAAGGCAGCTGGCCTTGACAAGATATCTGCTAGGCTCATTCGGCAATGTGCAGATCTCATTTGCATTCCTATCCGTGATATTTTTAACCAGTCAATAAGTCAAGGCATATTTCCGGATGACTGGAAAAGCGCAAAGGTCACCCCACTTTTTAAACAAGGCGATCGGGACGACTTAAACAATTATCGTCCAATTTCGGTGATCTCAGTTATGGCCAAGGTCTTTGAAAGAATCGTCTATGATCAATTATATGCCTACCTAGAAGAGCACAATATAATCTGTAAATATCAATCAGGCTTCGGCGCTATTCACTCAACTGTCACGGCTCTCCTTGAGGCCACGGACACTTGGGCGCACAATATTGACCGCGGTAAAATCAACGCCGTTGTTTTTCTTAGATCTCAAAAAGGCCTTGACACAGTTGACCATGAGATCCTTTTATCAAAATTAAGCAATTACGGCATATATGGTAACGCCGCACCAATGGTTTAAGTCGATTTAGAGAATCGTACTCAAATGTGCTCCATCAACGGATCGCTCTCTCAAAGCTGTTTATTAAGTTGTGGTGTACCCCAGGGGACGATTTTAGGTCCATTATTATTTCTGTTATACATCAACGATCTTCCAAACTGTCTTTCAAACTGTGAGCCAAGGATGTACGCTGATGACACCCACCTTACGTACGCAGGTGATAATGCAGACAATATTCAGTTGCATCTAAATCAAGATTTAGAAAATGTTCACAATTGGCTGAGAGCAAACAAACTTACTCTAAATATGACTAAAACCGAATTTCTGCTTATCGGATCTAGGCAGAGGCTAAGTACTCTCACAGAGTCCCCGACATTTGCAATTAATGATTTTGAAGTTAGCCAGGTCACTACTGCAAAATCACTTGGAGTGACCATCGATGACATACTTGATTGGAGTGGCCATATCGAGAAAGTAACAAAGAAAGTCGCTTCTGGTATTGGGGCCATAAAACGAATAAGGCACCTTGTCCCTCAGGCGACCTTACAACTAATATATCAAGCTTTAATACAGCCACACTTTGATTATTGCAACATTGTTTGGGGAAACTGTGGGATAACCTTACGGAATAAGGTTCAAAAGCTACAAAACAGAGCAGCCCGTGTTTTGACCTACTCAAGCTATGACGTAGATGCTGGTCACCTTTTCAAACTTCTAGGGTGGAAAAACCTAGCTTGCCAGCAACAATTTCAAAGAGCTACGATGGTTTACAGGTCTCTGCACGGGTTGGCTCCAAACTATCTTAGTTCTAAATTTGAAAGGCGAGAAGTCGCATATAACCTAAGGGACTCTGAAAATAAACTCAATATTCCATTATCGCGCACAAACTATTACAAAAACAGCTTCAGCTATAGTGGCGCCATTCTCTGGAACAGTCTTCCTTGTAACTTAAGGGAAGCAGAGTCCCTTGGGCAATTTAAACGATTACTCAAAGAACTGTAAGGCACGGCATTCGTGGAAAGCAGCTTTTTTATTGAAATATTTTTATTATATTAGTATTAGGCATTTTTAAAGCTGACGAATTTTGTACCGTGAATAAATAAAGATTATCCATCCAAATAAAGATTATCCAGTGGTGACGCAGAAAAGACATTGGAGACAAAAGAGAGCAACAGCAATAAAACGACCAAGAAATCTTCATATGATCAAGAGGATCGAACCATTTAAGTCAGGCATTTCCACCCTGAATGGAAAAACACTTTTCCTTGGGTTATTTACAATGATGGCAAAATGTTTTGTTCAACCTGCCTTGATTTTCCAGAGAAATCAAGTGATGCATCCAGTTTTATATGCGGCTGCAGTAATTTCAGAATGGAATCTTTGAGAAGTCATGCGAAGTCAACAGGACACATTCAGGCAGAAGAGGCTGTTCGTGTCAAAGAAAACCCTAGAAATGCACCTCTAGCAAGAGCTCTTCTTCTCGTGTCAGATGAGGTGAACTAAAAATTGAAAAGCTATTTGAAATTGCCTATATGATCGCTAAACTTGAACTTCCTTTTACTACTTTTCCAAGTCTGTGTGCCCTAGAAAAAAAAACATGGAGTTTGTTTAGGAAACACCTACCAAACCGACAAATCCTGCAAAAACTTTGTAGTTGCTATTACTGATGAGCTAAAATGCAATATTTCTGAAACCGTTATCAGCAGGTTTTATTGGAGTCATGGCAGATGGTGCGACAGATGTGGGAACAAGAGAGGTAGAAGATGTGTATGTGAGATTTTTGGAGAATGGAGTGCCTGTGAGTAAATTTGCAGGACTTGAGGAATGTCATAATGCTAAGGCAACTGGTATTACAGAAGCTATCAAAGAAGTTTTGAATGAAATAGATGACAACTAGAAGCAAAAATTTGTTTGTCTGGGATCTGATGGGGCAAGTGTCATGATTGGAAAGAATAACAGTGTCTATGTTCACCTGAAGACAGATGTTCCCAGTCTCATAAGTATTCACTGTATTGCACATAAGCTGGAATTAGGATTTCAAGACACAATCAAAGATGTAAAACTTCTCCAAGATGCAAAGGAGATGTTGCCGGGTATTTGGAAATACTATAAGTATTCCTGCAAGGCTGTACGTCAAATCAAAGAGCTGGCAGACATGATGGGTGAAAGGGCATACAAAGCTGTGAAAGCTGATGGTTCCAGGTGGATTCCTCATTTAGAGAGAGCCCTAAAAGTCTTACTGACTAAGAACTATAAGTTAGTGATTACTCACTTTCAGCATGCCAGTCAAGCAAAGGAGAGCAGTGCTAAGATGCAGGGCACAGCTACAAATTGTGGAAAGAAGTTAACAAGATACCTGTTTGTGAAATTCCTTCACCTTCTCCTTGACATTGTGCAGCAAGTTAGCAAGGTCTCTCTTGTGTTTCAAAGAGAAGAGGGTACCATTGCACTAGTTCAAGATAAGATAAATGCACTGAATGCTAGTCTGGAAGCCCTAAAGACAAGGCCAGGAGAACACCTGAGATCATTTAAAGGATCAGTCGACGCTGATAACCGATTCAATGACATAGTTTTGTCAAAGAAAGACACTGATGATGCCTCTTTCCTAACTACAAGAGATACACTAATTGATCTTGCAAAGCAGTACATCAGCAGCAGATTTAGTAACTTCAATGATAATTCTGCTCTGAAGGCAGCAGCTTCCATAACAGAACCATTACTTTGGCCCAAGGATAGAGCACCCTTACTTGTGTATCGAGAAGATCACTTAGATTCTTTGATCAATCACTTTGACCATCTAATAACTGGGCCTACTGTTGCTTTTAATGAGCTCACTTGCAAAGATGAGTGGTTGGAGCTGAAGCTTCATTATCACCGAGGTGGATTAAGACTTTCTGCTAAGGAATTCTGGCAGGAACTGTTTACAAACCCTCATTATTCAGCAAGATTTCCCAACCTTCTGGTTCTCATTGAGTTGTGTCTTGTAATCCCAATTCAAACAGCATGCTGTGAAAGGAGTAACTCTTGTCTAAACAGGATGATGACAGACTTTAGATCATACCTTGATGTTTCCACTGTGGATGCCTTAATGTTCGTATCACTAAATGGGCCTGACTATGCTGAGCATAATGCAACTAGAGCTGTTGTTCATTCAGGGCAAAGGCTAAGGAGGCCAGAAATAATGGACACTTGATGTTATGTTTTTGAGTGGCTAACAACTCTTTATTGAGTCATGGGTGTCAGACTCTTTACTTTAGTGACTTACAAGTATTTCATGTATGGCAATATCAATGAAAGACTTAGATCAGAAAGAGTTGACAAAAAAAATCTAACACATTTTTTTCAAGTTTATTGTCACGCATTAATGTCTGACTCTTTATTAAATTGTGAGTTAGCCTGGTTAGTGTGTGTCACTCGTCTTTGACTCTCTGCCAGTGGTATTGTTAAGTTT